GGGTTCCTCACGCCCAGGACAAAGTTCCTCACGCTGAGAACAAGGTTCCTCAAGCTGAGGACAAGGTCCTGACGCTGAGAACAAGGTTCCTCAAGCTGAGGACAAGGTTCCTCACGATGAGGAGAAGGTGCCTCAGACTGAGGGCAAGGTATTTCACACTGAGGACAAGGTCCCTGGCGCTGAGGACAAGGTTCGTCAAGCTGAGGACAAGGTACCTCACACTGTGGACAAGGTACCTAACAGTGAGGACAAGGCTCCGCCCGCTGAGGACAAGGTTGCTCCCGCTGAGGACAAGCTTCCTCACGCTGAGGACAAGGTCCTCACGCAAAGGGCGAGGTCCCTCAAGGTGAGGACAAGGTTTCTCGCACTGAGGACAAGGTACCTCACACTGAGGACAAGGCTCCTCACGCTGAGGACAAGGTTGCTCCCGCTGAGGATAAGCTCCCTCACGCTGAGGACAAGGTCCTCACGCAGAGGACAAGGTCCCTCAAGGTGAGGACAAGGTTCCTCACGCTGAGGACAAGGTACCTCACACTGAGGACAAGGTACCTCGCACTGAGGACTAGGTACCTCACGCTGAGGACAAGGTTCCTCAAGCTAAGGACAAGGTTCCTGAAGCTGTGGACAAGGTACCTCACATTGAGGACAAGGTACTTGCCACTGATCACAAGGTTCCTCACGCCCAGGAGAAGGTTCGTCACGCTGAGGACAAGGTTCCTGACGCTGAGGACTAGGTCCTCACGCTGAGAACAAGGTACCTCAAGCTGAGCACAAGGTTCCTCACGCTGAGGACAAGGTACCTGACACTGAGGACGAGGTACGTCACACTGAGGAGAAGGTTCCCCACGCTGAGGTCACGGTTCCTCGAGCTGAGGACAAGGTATCTCACACTGAGGACAGGCTTCCTCAAGCTGAGAAAAATGCACCTCACACTGGGGACAAGGTACCTCACACTGAGAACAGGGTTCCTCACGCCCAGGACAAGGTTCTCACGCTGAGGACAAGGTTCCTCACGCTGAGGACAAGTTCGTGACGCTGAGAACAGGGTTCCTCAAGCTGACGACAAGGTTCCTCACGATGAGGACAAGGTACCTCACACTGGGGGTAAGGTATTTCACACTGAGGACAAGGTTCCTGACGCTGAGGACAAGGTTCCTCAAGCTGAGGACAAGGTACCTCACACTGAGGACAAGGTACCTCACACTGAGGACAAGGTTCCTCATGCTGAGGACAGGGTTCATGATGGCCAGGACAAGGTTCCTCACGCTGAGGACAAGGTTCCTCACGCTGAGGACAAGATTCCTCACGTTGAGGACAAGGGTTCTCACGCTGAGGACGAGGTTCCTCACGGTGAGGACAAGGTACCTCACGCTGAGGACAAGGTTCCTCAAGCTGAGGACGAGGTTCCTCAAGCTGAGGACAAGGTACGTCACACTGAGGACAAGGTACCTCACACTGAGGACAAGGTTCCTCTCTCTGAGGACAAGGTACTGTAGTGTCCTTGTAGTATCAGGTGATCATGTAGTCACGTGATATAGCCTCATGGAGCAGAATGTAAGATGGCAGTTTATTAACAAAGTGTGTTTACAACAATGGCGACAAGGATGAGATTTCATTAGCAAATTACAGTACGATTTACGATGGCTGCAACTCCATCATTTCCGGAATTTGATGTAGAAGACCCATCAAATTTGGCAGTGCGATGGGAGGAGTATTTAAAGCGATTCAACAATCTAGTTACAGCGATGAATTTTCGTGATGCAGCTCGCAAAAGAGCCTTGCTACTTCACTATGTTGGTGAACGTGTTAATGATATTTTTGACACACTACCTGACCGAGGAGAAAACAGCAACTTTAACGCTGCTTGTGATGCATTGACGGCATATTTTACTCCGAAGAAAAATGTATCCTTTGAAATATTTAAATTTCTTAAATTACAACATGTCCCAGACGAAAAGTATCGATGAATATCACACACGCTTACAAATTGCGGCAAAATACTGCGAGTTTCGCGACCATTACACGGAAGTTAAATTACAGATAGAACTTGGGACTTCAAGTAAGAAGATTCGGCAACATTCGTTTCGCAAGCCAAGCCTCACTTTAACAGATTTGATCAGTTATGCTAGGACACTTACGGAGACTGAAAAACAAGCATCTGGCATCGCGAATAGTTCATTCAACATGCCCTCGTCAGCAGAGATAAACGCTGTCAACAAAGATAATTCTTCACCAAATGATTAACGTTCACAGAAACCTGAACCAAAACAGGAAGAGCTGCCTAGAACATCAGAACAGGTACCTACTAGAAAATGTTTCAGATGTGGACTTGCCTGGCCCCACAAAGATCAACCATGCCCTGCTGAAGGACAGCAATGCAACAATTGCAAAAAGTACAATCACTTTGCACGTGTTTGCAGGTCGACTCGACGAAAACAAGCCAGCAACGAAGGCCGTAAGATTGAACAGGCTCAACAACAAGTAGAAAGTGATGACAGCGATGAATATATGTAAACACTCGAGACGCCAGCTGACAAAGAGAACTTTCAGAAGACATTAAGAGTTGGAAATTCAGAGATACGTTTTCAAATTGACACTGGTTCAACTGCCAACATTATTAATGAAACATCCTATAAACATCTTGTTGATGGAAACCCTACAATAACCCTTGCCAAGTCAAAAAAACGCCTTTTTGGTTTTGCTAGCTCTACACCCTTACAAGTCCTAGGACAATTTCAATGTACTCTTGAGTCATCGCATAAAATAACGACTGCAAAAGTGTTTGTAGTGAAAAATGCAACTGGATGTTTACTTAGTGGACATACAGCAATTGAATTAGACCTCATTCATGTTAAAGTGAATGCAATTACAGCACTCAACTCCAAAGAAATACCAACTCGTCTCACTCCATTGATCCAAAAGTACAGTGATGTCTTCACAGGCATTGGCAAGCTTAAGAGTGAATGTCAGTAAAAATCGAACATATGAGGTATTTCGCGGTCACGACTGAAAAATCGATTTTGCTCAAATTTTGCCCAGATATACCTTATTATATTGGAAAATGCACCATATATTTTTTTAGGCCAAATGCTTTTTTAACTTTGAGAAAATGCCCTTTTAACACGACCACCCTAAATCGCCATTTTGTCTGGGAAAATATGCGCTGAGTTTACCGACAAATTTCACGACGACAACCGTTTATAATCGATCTAAAACCCTAAAAATCTTGTTTTCGGTTATTCAGAGGACCAGGTACGTGACTTACAAGAAATCTGAGTTACTTTTAGGAATAGAAATAATCGTAGTTTTGGAGCACACTATCTTACTTCATTTACGATACCCTCTTAACAAAACCGATTTTCACTATGGGATAAAGCTCCAAATCGATCTTGCTTCTACTAGTTAGCTTTTCAATAAACAAGCTTTCAATTGACGTAAATACTTCTTTGGGCAAATGAATACGCGATAAACGACAGCGCGCTGAAATCGTCCGTTTTTGACGTCTTGCAAGCAAATGCCACGGGCCTCGCGCTTATGGGGGCATTGCGCTTTACTGTGCCACGCCCATTTTAACGAGAACACGGCCATTTTCTATTGGGACACACGCATTTTAGGTGCCTCGCGAATTTAGGGTCCCTAGGCTTGGCAGTTGGCCCCAGCACGGCCCCAGGAAGATATGCAATACTCGTGTGCATATAATCTCCAGTTGCGTTGAGCTGTTATATTATGATCCTGTTTATACATGTTGACCCAACAACTGGGCCAGGCAGGCCATTGTCTCGTTTATAATTGATGCTAATAAATTGAAATATTGAAAAAAATTATTTAACAATTTTGTGTGTCTTTAAATTCAAAGGTTTTCATAACAAGGCGGAGAATGGGGGGGAGGGGGTTGGGGGCCTCGCGCGACGTTAATCCGGCCCTGGTCACTTGTCGGTAGTTCTTGTGGTTTTAATGCCAATTGCCAAAGAATGAAAGAGAGCACCGATGACTTCCCCCGTCGGAGAATTACTGGCGCAGCCCAGGCCAGCTGAGTGAAATATGGGGGCCCAGGGCCAATTATATCTTTGGGGCCCCGGTGAACCACAATAATTCCCCTCCCACCCCTCCGTCGACAAACTTTTTACCCCCTTGCAAATTTGTATTTGCCGGCCCTCCTTGAGCTGGGGTCGCGGAGAAAATTGCTCCCTTTGCCCCCCCCCCTTGCAAGGGCGGCCCTGGCGCCACCCCTGTCTTATCATAACTATCTACTTCAAATAATTTTTAAAGCCCCGGATTTTTAAAGCCCTTTTTCAAGTATTTTTTTGTCCCGAAAAAGTAAAAGACTTAGAAATGGTGATTAAATTATTTACTACGGTATGTTATTTAATAAGGAGTAAGGGTTATGGTAGGGGTTTAAGTTATAAAGTTGGCGTTTGGAATAGGATTAGTGTAAAGCTTTGTTACGTTTTGTCATTCTGAGGCCAGCGAAATAACCTCTTACGCAACATGCATGCGTACGCGTCTACTATCGTCAAGAAACAATCAATACGTATAATCGTTGTGATCTGTGGGATTTTAATGAGATTTAAAGACCTTGCAGTTTGAACACACATTAGCCGAATTCATATTAGAGACGGGAAACTCGTATTAGACGGGAAACTCGTCTTATAAATTCGAATTTATCCGTCCCTAAATTCATATTCAGGCGGGTTTTCACAAACAAGTTTCCGTCTAAGACGAGTTTCGCGTCCCTAATATGAATTCGGCTATTCAAATATAAGGGCTGGTAAACTAAAAATAAAAACTCCTTATATTGATAAACATTATAAACGTTCATTTCATGTCACGCACGCTAACACCTAGCCTCATTAATAATTAACTTTATACGTCTTCGTAAACATTATAGTCGATACATAACGGGTACATTAATTTAATAATATGGACAAAATGGAACAAAACCTCTGGAAACAGCAGTTGCAGTTCTAATTATTTTGGTAAATTTAGTAACAAATATAATCCCTAAACAGCTCATCGCTTTGTATATATTAGCGCTATTAAAAGTAGACAATATTGAACAGTGATCTGAAGTTATCATGCAACTGACAACAATATTATATCTCAAAATACCTGTATATGATGATATTTCACAAATATATCGGGATTTCTGGACCAATTTTAAACTTAGCAAGGCAAAAAGTCTCCATTCAAGAATATATCTTCTTCTCAAAAGGTAAAATACTTAAAATACTTGATTAAATTGTTTACTTCGACGGTATGTAAATTAACAGCGTTTGACTTGCAAGACGTCAAAAACGGATCTATTTCAACGCGCTGCCGTTTATCGCGTATTCATTTGCCCAAAGAAGTATTTACGTCAATTGAAAGCTTGTTTATTAAAGAGCCAACTAGTAGAAGCATGATCGATTTGGAGCTTTATCCCATGGTGAAAATCGGTTTTGTTAAGAGAGATATCGTAAATGAGGTAAGATAGTGTGCTCCAAAACTACGATTATTTCTATTCCTAAAAGTAACTCAGATTTCCTGTAAGTCACGTACCCGGTCCTTTGAATAACCGAAAACAAGATTTTTAGGGTTTTAGATCGATTAGAAACGGTTGTCGTCGTGAAATTTGTCGGTAAAATCAGCGCATATTTTCCCAGACAAAATGGCAATTTAGGGTG